GGAAGGAAGGAAGGAAGGAAGGAAGGAAGGAAGGAAGGAAGGAAGGAAGGAAGGAAGGAAGGAAGGGACACGAATTTTCACATATATCCTCATTGGGTGATTTGAACATATGAATGGGTCATCTCAAGTTCCTTTCCATATATCTTATCATGTTGCTTGTCTTACATTATTTGAAACACCTTTCTTTTTTTCCAAATATTCAGGAGGCAATGATTAAGAAAACTTAAAAAACAGAACCTCACAGCACTTGCACATGATCATATGCAACTCTATTTCTTGTCCAAAGCTTTTTAGTTCAACATATATCTTTCCCTCCAGTATAGTTTGTCTCTGAGTTATATTGCTAACATTCAAATAAAAACATTTTTATACATATCTAAAAAAAAGGACTTATTATATTCAGGACAATAAAAATGTCACATTGCAGTGCTCAGAATTTCCTAAAATTGCACCCCTGTACACAATTCACCGAGACAGCTTACATCCCCTCAAGGTGCAGAATTGAAATGTTGATAAGTAACCCTCTTGGGCAGAATTGCATATGCCAACTTAAGGTCAGGTATAAAAACAAGGGAATTGGGAAATGACATGTAAGGGTGCATTTTTTGGGGTGTCTGTGTTCTTTCCATCTGTAATATTGTCACCCAGTCCGCACTGGCATTTTGTCATAATCCCCAAGGAGTAATAATGTTGCCCGAGGATGAGACTGAATCACTGGTGATCTTCCTGCTGCCAGTGACCTATAGATGACATTTGGTACCCAATTAATTAGACATACTTCTTTTGAAGCAAATGACACACCATGCATAATTAGAATAGGCATCAAAGTTAGAATCATTGTCTCATTATTCCAACGAAATCACCCTGTGGCACTTAACGATGGTTTTGTAATATCCCCCACAATGATTCCACTCTTACTGTGATTAAGAGGGGATGCCTGACTTAGTTTCAGACGGATTCACTGGAGAAGGAAGGAAATCTGGCACCGAGAAGCAAAACTTGGAATGTGGAAAAGGACGACATTGCAAAACTAACATGCATTCCCAGAAGTCCCCTTATATAGACCATAATATCTTCTGGCCTGAGATGGGCAGTAAATATTTCAATCTTACCAATCAATCAATCAATAAATCAATAGAGACACAGGTATTTGAGATTCAAAAGCGACACAGTGGCTCAGTGGCTGACGCTAAGCTTTTTCGATCAGAAAGGTCAGTAGTTCGGCGGTTCGAATCCCTAGTGCCATGTAATGGAGTGAGCTCCTGTTACTTGTCCCAGCTTCTGCCAACTTAGCAGTTCGAAAGCACATAAAAAATACAAGTAGAAAAATAGGAACCACCTTTGGTGGGAAGGGAACAGCATTCTGTGCACCTTTGGCATTTAGTCATGCCGGCCACATGACCACGGAGACGTTTTTAGACAGTGCTGGCTCTTTGGCTTTGAAATGGAGATGAACTCCACCCCCTAGAGTTGGGAATGACTAGCACATATGTGCGAGGGGAAT